CACGCGCGTTCTTCTTGAGCCGCAGGACCCGCTGAAACGCGCTCTGCAGCGGGGCCGGGCACTCCTCGATGAAGCGCGCGAGGCTGCCGCCTCCGGAGGCCAAGTACTGGGCCACGATGGCCTCGCGCAGTTGCGCCAAGTCGCCGCCGAATGTGTGCGTCACCGCGCAGACCTGCTTGATGTGGTCGGGCTGAAGACTGGCGAGCAGCTGCTCGATCCCGCTCTCGAGTATCGCGTCACCGGCGCGCTTGATCGGGTTGGGATTCGCACCGGCCGCATCCGCCACGTCGGCGTACTTGAGCGACTGGCGCAGTGTGGTTGGCGTGACACTTTTGCCCTTCTTCTCGAACTCGAGCGTGTCGCGCATGAATGATGGAGGGCTGGGGCGGGGCACCACGGGAGGGCGGATGAGGGGCTTGGGCTTGGGCTTGGGGGGGCTCGGGGACGACGGGGGGGCTCGGCGGGGGGCTCGGCAGGGGGCTTGGCAAGGGGCTTGGCAGGGGGCTCGGCGGGGGGCTCGGGCAGGCTTGGCAGGGGGCTTGGCAAGGGGCTCGGCGGGGGGCTTGGCCGGGGGCTTGGCAGGGGGCTCGGAGGGGGCTTGGGGACCGAGAACCATCTTTTGAGCTCCTGTAGGTCGACCACGAGAACACTCAATAGCTGGCGATGGGCAGTGGAGGCAAAAGGGGAGTTACCTTTACGACCGAGTCGGCAAACTCGTCGATGACCTTTTTGTATAGGGTGTAAACGAACGTGCTGACGGCCATGAGGAGTATTTGGGAGGCGTGGGTCATGAGCCAATGCCCCTCTTCGCCTTGGGCCTCTCTAACGGCCGAATGCTGCATTCTCTCTCTCTCTCTCTGTGCGTGTGTGTTGATGTTGGAACCGTAGACGAAGAGGGAGCGGCCGACAACCTAAGCAAGAGGGTCGTTTCTTTTGGTGATTGGGGTGGCCACGTTGCAAGGTTACAAAATAACGCACCAATGGCCGGCTTGCCTTAAAAATGAATCGGCGTTACACGTGGTTGATATCCAGAGCGAGTGCGCAATCAGAAGGGCATGGCCAGGTTGGCCATGGTGTGGAGGTAGTCGCGTACGGGGGGCAGCTTGGGGCACACAGCGAACGTCGCCACGCAGTCCGCAGAGTGGCAGCACATCGCGGCGAACAGCGCCTCGCTCTCCCCAGCGCGCAGGTTTGGATCGTAGATGGTTGGCGTCACTGATGCTCCCCCCCCCAACCATGAGTGCGTGTGCGTGTGTCGTGTCGTGTGCGGTGGTGCGTGTGCGGCGGGTACCTTGGACTCCGTTTTTGTAGAGTGCGATCTTGTGCTGGCCGAGGTCGACGTGAAGGCCCAGCCGGTCGCCCTTGCGATACGGCGGCGCAAAGTGGGTCATGCCAGGGCTGTGCGCCATGGCCAACAGGCCGTTGGGGTACCAGCCCCACGTCCGCTGGTCCGCAACACCTGCGCCGGTCCACTCCATTCAAGTCAAAAGTCAAAGGTCAAGTCAGGTCAAGTCCAAGTCAAAGCAGAGGCCGGGGCTGTGTGAGAGGTCGCACGTATCCAGCAGTGCTTGCCAGCCACGCGCCCATC